TGTGACACTTTCAACGGACATGTTTTCATTGTACAAGAACCAGTGATTCTGTAAAATTAGAGAAAGATATTGAAAACCGAGAAAACACAATTAGATTAAAAGTTATATACCTGTGCCTCAACTCGTGCACGGTCAACAAGGGTACGTGAATCAGCCATGAGACCACTACAGGCACATCCGATATGGGCATCAATTTCAGCAATTTTTTCGGTTGTAGCAGGCTCCATGAGAGGAGATGTGACTCGTTTCTCAACGGCTAAAATAACACCTTCTAGAGTTGCTATACCAATTGCAGTCGTACCAAGCTGATTTAAACAAAAACAAGAATAAAATTAATAACAAGATCAATGAGAAAATAAGATACAAAAAAGGAACCGGTAACCAACATACCTTAATTGCCTCAATGGCATATTCTACTTGGAAAAGACGACCCTCAGGTGAAAAGGTGTTGACACCACGATCATATTCAGATCTAGTAAGAAACATTATTGAATAATTATGTTAAATTTAGAATAAGAAATCAACTTAATAAATTTACACAAGAAACAAACTAGTGTAATTGATGAATCACTTTGAACCTATTTCTACTTAAAAATCAGTGAGAATAGCTTGTATGGGTTATTTAAACAGCATTTTCATGTACATGAACTGAAACCACAACCGGGTTGTGACAACCCAAAATATTTCTCAACTATTATGACCATCTAAATTATTGAAATTGGATCATAAAAACCATGAGTAGATAAATCAATTGATCTTAATTTTTTTACATTAATTATTGAAATAAACATCAATTATCATAAACTTACAGTGAGCTTCAGCTTGGCTCTGGATGTGCATTTGACAGACTGAACTTGATGTAGGGTAAAATTAAGAAATGACTGTCATCTAATGGAAATAATCTCAGAGTTCAAATCATAAGGTAAATTAATCGAATTGTGGTTTGGCCAAAGCGGAGGTAAATGTAATTTATTAAGTGGTATAATAGTGACGAAAATGACAAAAATATTTAAAATCGAGTTAGTTGTAATTTCGATCGTTAGATGGAGCTGGCAATAGTAAAGTTTTTTGCAGACTGGATCAATGATACCTTTGACTACTTAAATAGAATACTATCTCCAATTAATCTATCAGTTTCTCCTGAAAAATCAATCATCATGACAGATCCCAACAACAGGCAGCGTCTAATCAAAAATGGCATTCAAGATGTGTGCCTTAACGCCACTTTTCTTGGACTTCCAGTTCGTTCGACTCCCACTGGAATGCATGTAGATGGTAAAGCTCTACTGAAAAAAATGACCGACAAGACCTACAAGTTGAATTGGAATACCTGTCTACTCAAGATTCTCCCGAGCAAAATTTTCAAAATCATACTAACCTCTTACATCTACTCAATCATGATAACATATGCCCCTACATTAATACCTCTACTAACAACTAATCAAAATTTCTCCTATGAACTAGAAAAAATAGCAAACTTTTATACCTACAAGAAATATGGAATTAAACCAAGAGATGGACTGACCTTATGTCAATCCTTACTTGGCATCCAACCTCTCAACCATGGTATTCTGATGACTGGCTTCAAGCATTTCTTTCCTGATTTCTCCATCTTTACAACTAGCTATCACTTCTCGCATCTTCTTCCAAAGCTCTCCACAATTCGTTCGGATAAAATCTGGTGGGGTATCAATCCCTGCTCTAAAGGTAATGCTGATACTATCTATCAGGATAAATGGATTGAATATGCTAGACAAAGAGATACATTTAATTGGCTTATCCCTAAGTGGAAAGTCTTTAATACCTTCAAAAGAATAGATATAAAAGTAAGATTCATCGCTGGAAGGTACAACTTCCTTACGAAGAACTCTCCATGCTCTTGTGGCTCGAATATCGCTGATAATCTGCACTGGCTCAATCACTGCCCGAAATATGAACATCTAAGAAATCAAATTAAACTCAAAGACAGAAATAATCTGATGTCCACCATAGCCAAACAACCAGACACCTTTACCAAACTCATCAAAGAAATAATAGATCAAGAAATCATACCCCTCTTTAATAACAACACATAACCTTATTATAACTTTCATTACCTTATTTCCTTCTCTCCCTTCACAACAACACATGTAAAATTTTTTCACATTCCCACCACATTCCGAAATTACAAAAATGAATGTAGAGTGTGCTACACTCATTATATCCAAGCGGCGCCTCATAAGCTGCTCAAATCCCCCTTCTACAATTGTAACTCTATTTTAATACGATAACAATGACAACTTATGTAAATTATTGTGTTGAATTAAATACTTTGATGATTTAAATGAGTAAATTTAGGTTATTAAACCTTTAAATGTTGTTATAAATTTATAACTGATCAGATAACTTTTGTTTCTTTTATTTTTAGTGGATGTTTCTGATTGCCTCGCTTTTCCTAATTATCATGGACTTTGCCAACGGAACACTTCCAACTGGATTAAGCATGAAATATTTGTGAATTTATGAACGTAACCGATAACATTTTTTATTGGACTTATCCATCTACTTGTCGATTAACCTTAACATATTTATCAAGCAACGAATAATGTAGTTGTGGCGTCATTTTCAATTGAATGTCAAAACTCAATCATAATTCTCATTCCCAATTAATTTATGATATTCTGGTGCAGACTTTGTTTCTGTATAAAATTAATGAAGATCATACGAAAGTATGAAAAGGTCAGACGAGATGAGATGGGTGTGTTTGACAATGCTGGATGTTATCCTGGCTGGTTCGATGAGACTGAGACCAGAATGCTTGCCTTGGCTTCGGTTCGAGCTAAGTAACAGTTGGTTTTTATTCATTTAAATATCATTTTCATATTGGCGGTTTCAATAAGTTTTGAGACTTTCTCAGTCAAGGAAAGAAACGAGGTAACCAGAGCCAATTTGAATGTCAAGTGATAGAGCGATTTGATTAACTAAAACTGTTTTCCGTGTCAAAGAAATGATATTTGGTTTCAACCACTTCATCTACTTCCCTTGTCAGCTCTACCCAGCTCAGTTCAGAGTCACTGCAATTACTAAACTCTTGGTAACTGGCCACACTTACTGGTGACCTCTCTTGCTGTAGATAAATGAGATTTACAAGCAAATCGAATCAGACGATTATAAGTTTAAATTAATAGAAACCGTTTATTTATTTTTTTGATGTTGGCGGGAATACAATATATAAGTTATATTTAACAAGTGACAAATGAAAATTTGGTTATTAAATAATTTAATGTAAAATCTAAAAATTGATTTGACGGAAAAAATTTAAACCTTAAAGCAAACAGATACCAACAGTCAATATTGGATGATCAAAGGACTAGAAGACATTGATGAACATATCATTGGTCAATACGTCAAGCTTTTCAACTTGCTCTACTTGGACACTTGTTGTACTGACAATTCCATATCTTGATCATGTGAAGAGTTGTCACTTCATCAGGAGCTTCCCATTACTCTTCAATTACCAACCATTGTATCGATACCAGGATCAGCATTGCGTATCTGACAAATTTGCACGATTTGCACAGTTTCTACAATTTATACAGTTTGTACAATTGGCACAATTGGCACAACCTTTAGAACTGGCACAATCTGCGCAATCTGAACAGCTTACACAATACGTACAATTGGCACAATTTTGACAACCATTACTATTTGCAGTGTTTCTAGAATTTGAACAATTCTCAGAATCTGTACAATTTGCACAATCATGACAGTTTGTACAATTAATACAGTTGGAGCAGTTCGTACAGCCAACACAGTTTACACAGTTTGTATTGCCATCGCCGTCAACAGTAGGCGTCATTAAGCTGACCATACCGGCCGATACCAGAATCAAAAAATAGGTTTTGAGATACATTTTAGAGGAAATGGAAATTTAATGTAATTAGAAATATTTATCAAACAACTTGAAATCAACTCGTTAAGTGTTGCTCTTATGGAATTGCTTTTATACTATTCATCACCTAATAATATCGTCACTCTTTTCCCTCCCATCCTGCTTGTTACTTCATGCTCATTTTATCAACCTTTTCTGCGAATTTTTTATAGCCTTGATCAGATTAACTATCAGATTCATTGTTTTAAATCGAACAAACAAGTTATTAATATTATCATAGAAATGCAAATTAACATAAACATGTTTACTCACCTTTACTTTCATTTTCAGACATTCAATAAATAGATGACAATTGATCAATTCAACATAAAGCACAATATCTAATATTCAAAACTAATTCAGTCTTTAGTTTGGTTCAAGTGTGTAATCTATACCATCTATATCTATATCTATACCATATATAAAGTCAAAACATGAAATTTTTGCGTAAAGATTGTTACCAAATTAAAAGGATTCTAAAGAAAATTTTTCCACAGCCTGAAAGCCATGATTAAACTACATCCACGAAAAATAGTCTGAACTTCATCGGAATTCAGGTACCTGAGAAATTAGCGTTTAAACAGGGTAGGGGAAAAAATGCAGAATCCGTATCTTTTACCATTGACTTCGGGGGAAAAATTTTTTTGGCTGTTCAGGTTGATTGTTGGTCTATTGTTAAATTAGAAGGATATGTAAAACCATTTTTCGAGCAAAGAGTTAGGTAAAAAATGTGTTGCCTCAACTATTGAATCAAATTTTATTTTATTTCTTCTCATTGATAATGGTTTTTCATCAATAATTTGAGTTTTTAAATGTGGATTGGATTTTTTGTATTCAGTGAAAAGAAATTTACGATCAGTAATGATCGGGGCTCAGCTTGTAAATTTAATTGCAAATAAGTAAGATAATAAATAAGTTTCATGAAAAAATTTGCTTTCATAGCTAAACAAAAGGCGATCGAGTTTCGACTTTTACCTCGATTTACTCGAAAACTGTCCATCGAATGCATTATTTAATAGCACCAATGGCTTCAGTTTTTATGTCCCCACAAATTTATCAAGTCTAAACTTTTAATTCCAATGTTCGAGTCTTTAACAGTACTTTTTGCATTTCATTTGCAAGTTTAACCAGAAAAGTGGTTTATTTACCAAGAAATGGGTTGAGATGAGTTTAGTTTGCTGAATAAGTTGCTGCTCGTCTATTTACAACCCAAATATCAAATGGATTAATGAAAAGTTATTAAATTGTATTGAATCATCATTTAGTAAAGGATAACATTGGGGAAAGAGTGCTGGTTATAAAGGGTGTTAAGGTTTATTTCTTGCAAAATAGGAAAAGGTAAAAGCGATCTTATCTGAAGATAAAGATGAAAATGGTGATAACATGGCGATAAATATGAATCGGCCACTTGCATTTGCTTGGGTATTTTGATTAACCTTTTACCTTTGTGATTTCATCTTTATCTTCAGATAAGATCGTTTTTCTTTCCCCTGTTTTGCAAGAAATAAACCTTAACACCCTTTAGGTGCTTCCAATCTTGGGACAGCGAGGCTTAAAGTTTTAAGGCCAATCGCAAAATCAAGAGAATTGTTGATTAATTGATAAAATTATTCAATCATTTGATGTGAGCCAACAATTTTTATGGATAAATAATAAGTTTCCTCTTATGGTCCTAGACAGTGATT